ATAATAAAAATAAATAAATAAATTATAATAGTATAATCATATATTAATTTTTATTTTCAATAAAGAAAAATTATATTAGTTTTAAATAAAGTAAAAAAATTTATTCGTTTCGTCTAAGTAGTAAATTTTATTTATACTAAACTAATAAATTTTTGTTATGATAAATGAATGTAAAAATAAAAATAAAATAATTCCTTAATATTATTGAAGATAAAAAAATAAAGTTGAAACTAACTAGATAAATATTAATTAAAAACTATGATTAGAAATTAAAAAATTAAAAAAGATAAATTTGTTAATAAAATTAAAAAATTTCAATTTACTAATAGTTTAGTATAAAAAATCATCTTAGATAGTTTTTTCGATCGCTAGCATTTAAATACTAACCGCTATCCATTAATCCCAAACCATAAATAAAAGGTTTTACCAAGCATTTAATTTGTAATAGTTTCAAAATAAATAAGTTTACCCAACATTACCAACCGCTACCTCCAAACCATTATACCAAATCGACCCTAATACTATTTTTATTTTTGATATTATGTGTATCTTCTCATATATATATATATATATATATAAGAAAAAGTGCATATCAATTTTGATTTCTAAAAAACATTAGAACTTCAAACTTAAATAACGTTGTTTCATAACCCAATGAAGTGATTCAATAGTTAAAAACTTGAAATTTTAAGTCGGAAATCCCAAGTTCAAAACTTGAGTCAGGTGATGAGGGATTTAGAAAAATGAAGGGTTTAGGAAAGGAAAGGGTTATCCCCTCTTGTATAATCCATTCAAATTTAAAAAAAAAAAAAAAAAAAAAAAGTCATTTCATTTAATTGAAATCTAATTTAAAATTTAAAAATCATCTTATTAAATATTGATAGTGAGATTTAGAAACTAATTATATATTTTAATATAATCAGTTTCCAAATCAATATATCAACATTTAATAAGGTGAATTTCTAAATTTTGAATTGAACTTTCATTTCTAAATATAAGAATTAATATTAAATATTAATATTTAATATTTTTTCTTTTATATATATGTATATATTTTTGTTTTTTTTTTTTTTTAATTTCTATTTCATAGTGTAGGAATCAGAGTACTGTCTTCACCAGAAGGAAAACAAATGTCGAAGTGACTGTTTCCAAACTGAAAATAACCTTGAGATTTGTGGATGGCGGTTTCAAGTATGGGTGGGATTAACTGGATCAAAAATCTAGATAGCCATGTTATCCAAAAAAAACCTTTATGATTTTGTCATTCGTATGGTTGGTTGTGAAGAGCGAGGAAACAGTATATACGCAGGAATTGTATCTTCAACTGAACTGAAAAAGTTCAGAGCCTCATTAAATCAACTAATTAAAATAAGCAAATTTATTAATCAATTCAAAACAGGGTAACATAGGAAAAGGCTTGAAATCACAAATCAGTTTATTACTCAAAACAAACAAAGTACTAATAATAATCCTTACCATTAACTTGACATTATTAGTTGGACAGGCAAAAAACAAACCCTTATTTTTGTTTCAATTTCCCTCAGTTGTCACAGATAGATAACTACTAATATATAATCTTTTACATTAAACAAATGCAATACAAGGAACGATTAGAAGGCAAGCAAGTTTCAGGTTTTTTCTTCAATGACAGTTATGTATAGAAGTGAAAAACCCAATTAACTGAGTACAGGGAAGCCACATCTAAAGCATATATAAATTGAGTAATTGCTTTTCTTACATATTGTTAAATAAATAATCAAGCTTACCATTGGCAATCAGAGTCATTGATACTTCTCCCTTTAAATTTGTGGGGAAGTTCTGTCAGTGGTTATGAGAGAAGTCATCATAGAATGATCCATCAGCTAGTGGTTTGAACAATTCAAATGCCTTCATTTACGGGCGCTGAGAATCACCATCACCTCTATTCAATGGAGGATCTTACGGGGAAACCATCTTCTATCATCTTAATTACTGCAGAAAGATAATAGGTTTCCGCAATCAAAATCCACGCAGATCGAGTGGAGAGATTATTTCCAAAATGAAAATAACGCTTGGGACTTCGGCTTCCATTCCTGTTGTCTTTGGAGGAGAGGAAACGGCATACGCGTGGACAGAATAGTCTCTTCAAAAGAATTGATGTGTCAATAAATTGTGTCCAATGGAGCAACCTTTAATTGTGGTCGGCGTGGACCAAGCAGAAAAAAATTCGAGTCATGACCTTTTTTCACGGCAAACAGAGTCTTTTGTCTTTTCTCCATTCGGAGCTGAGGGACGGGACTACTAAGCCAAAGTCCAGGGCATTACCCTCATGATGAGACTCGTGCTCCTGTTTTATTTTTGATACACTTTTAAATAATTCCATTCTATATGGAGTTTTTGTTATTTTATTTTATTTTATTTTATCTTATTTTTCATTATATTAGTGTTTTATGTGTTAATTCAGGTAAGTAACAAGTTTTCTAATAAAGCAAGAAAGATTTTTCTATATTCTTACCTATGCAAAAAGATCTACTTTATATATTTCTTCTGTATATGATTCCAAAGACTAGATAATGAGAATTTGATATGTTGGCCCCATCCACAACTGGGACACGAATGAATAGATTTGTTAGAGCATGTACAATGGCAAAAACCATCTTAAGCTTTTAAACTTATCCCAACAAAGCATTTAAATCCTTAAATTAAAAATAAAATAGATAAACTCTTCAACTCCATTAATTATACAAAAAAAACCATTTTTATTTATAAGTGTTCATGCTTTCAAGGTGATATTAAACATGAAATACTATTTGGCTCGTTTGTAAGAAAGGTTAATTTATTTCGATTTTAGTTTAAAAGCTTAAATATTATTTTGGGATAAACTTAGGGGCTTAAAACGGATTTTTTACGATTTGTTAGAGCATGTGCTATGGGGTTTTTATTTTTATTTTTTAAAAATATAGAATAGAGATATAACCTTAGTTTATTGGAGTACGTTTTACAAGAGAACTTTGTTTTCTACGCACAGCATATTCTCTTCCCTTTTTTTATTTTAAAATTTTATTATATTATAAAAATTATTAAAATCTTTAATAAATCATGAATAAATATTGAATAAATCTTTCAAAATCTTTAAAAAATCTCTAATAAAATTTTAATAAATATTGAATAAATACTTAATGAGTTTTTTAAAATCTAAACTCAATTATATTTCAATAATAATCTTTCCTTTTAATGCAATTATACTTCAAAATTGTGATAAATTTTAATTATTAGTAAATAGATCAAATGATAAATATTTTATATAAATATAATGTATAATACTTATGTGTAAGTAAATTTATACTATTTTATTTATATATGAAATTGTAAAAACTTAAATCATCTTAAAATTAAAATATTAGTGATGATAATAAAAAAGATTTAAATAAGTTTAATGAATTAATATGAGAATAAGATTTGTTAGGGCATTTTCAATTATATATAACGTGTATTTAAAATTAGAGATTATTTGGTATAACAGTTTAAAACTAATATGTTAATAATTTTATCTAATATAATAATTGATAATAATAATTATTAATAAATTAAATATTTTATTTATTAAATTAAATAAAACTACTAAATAATAATTTCAAATCATTATAATATATATTTACTTATTTAATCAATGTTTTAAAAATTAGACCGAATT